CGCGTCAGCGGCATTAGGTGGTCACAGAAGGTGGTGACGGCAATGTTTTAAATTGGGTTAAAATGATTGGATTGGGGCCCTTAGGGGGTAATTGCTGGTGAATGAACCATCACCCATAATAATCATGCCCTGGCAAGCTGTCTGACTGTACTTAGTGCCAGCTGTACATTGTGATCGCACCTAATGATATGTTCGTGCTTTGCTGCTCGGGGGACACTTCCCTGGTGTCACAGGATACAGGGCACCAGGAAACTAAAGTGAGAAATGACCCCAAAATCAGGCCTGTCCCGCTAAAAGTGGGACTGTTGGGGAAACCTGCCAGTAACCCCCAAACCACTCATTGCGATGAAGTGACTTTAGTGGTCCTTTAACGTGTTGATAATAATCCCACCATATCTGCCTCTCTTTCACAGCTGGTGACCTCGATGCAATCTCTGCTTTTGTGAAGGCCAATGAAGAGGTAGATTTCCAACTCTCAAATAACGGACAACTCACTCTGAGGGTGTGTGATCTTAATGGGACTGTATACATGGGACAAGATCATATGTTGGAATCCTGGCAAAGCTTCTATTTACCCAAGGAGACCAAAATGGAGGTGCTGGGAGCTATTGACAACTATCACGGCCTTCAGCTGGTTATTTTAGTGGCAGATGACGGAAACATGTATGCTTATGAGGAAGACAGACTCTTTCACATAGCCAGCAGTTTACCTAGTTTGGTTCAGGACGGTTTAAGAAAAAATCCATGTGTCTATGATTTACAAGAGCTGAGCGATGAGGTAACGCGTGTGTGTATACACAACCTGTGTCTGCTTACTCCCGTAAAACTCTTTTTGCATGCAAGAGTTCCATTAACCTGTATACCTGCTGAACGTTGAGACTCCTGAGAGAGAGCTCGTAACCTGTATACTTGCTGAATGTTGAGACTCCTGAGAGAGAGCTCGTAACCTGTATACTTGCTGAATGTTGAGACTCCTGAGAGAGAGCTCGTAACCTGTATACCTGCTGAATGTTGAGACACCTGAGAGAGAGCTCGTAACCTGTATACCTGCTGAAACCTGTATACCTGCTGAATGTTGAGACACCTGAGAGAGAGCTCGTAACCTGTATACCTGCTGAATGTTGAGACACCTGAGAGAGAGCTCGTAACCTGTATACCTGCTGAATGTTGAGACACCTGAGAGAGAGCTCGTAACCTGTATACCTGCTGAATGTTGAGACACCTGAGAGAGAGCTCGTAACCTGTATACCTGCTGAATGTTGAGACACCTGAGAGAGAGCTCGTAACCTGTATACCTGCTGAATGTTGAGACACCTGAGAGAGAGCTCGTAACCTGTATACCTGCTGAATGTTGAGACACCTGAGAGAGAGCTTGTAACCTGTATACCTGCTGAATGTTGAGACACCTGAGAGAGAGCTCGTAACCTGTATACCTGCTGAATGTTGAGACACCTGAGAGAGAGCTTGTAACCTGTATACCTGCTGAATGTTGAGACACCTGAGAGAGAGCTCGTAACCTGTATACCTGCTGAATGTTGAGACACCTGAGAGAGAGCTCGTAACCTGTATACCTGCTGAATGTTGAGACACCTGAGAGAGAGCTTGTAACCTGTATACCTGCTGAATGTTGAGACACCTGAGAGAGAGCTCGTAACCTGTATGTATGAACAATTACCATAACTGTTTTTTCTTTTTCTTTTTATTAATTTTTTTTTTAATAGGAAGATGAAACTCATAGCGATGAGGAAGTTCAAAAAATCAGACAAAGAACAAAAGATTTTGTGAATCAAAGTTCAGAGGCATTTGACAAAATGTTGGATTTTTTTTAAGTACAAGTCTTCAGAGGTTTATTAATGCCATTTCCCTTCAGTTTAAAGACATTGTGTATGATATGGATCAACTTAACCATCCTCATTGGTTATTGTACAAGGAGAAAGATCTTCTCTGATTGGAATTGGCTAATTTGTAAAAAGCTGTAAATAAGTACTTGGTGACTGCAAAATGGATAATCATTTGCCGAATGTTTTCTTTGAACAGCCAGAATGTGCGTGAACCACGATATCTTCATAGTTTCGACTGTCTTCACCCCCTGCGGAGTGCAGTTTGGATGCATCATACATCTGAATGGAGGTCCCTGAAATCTATTGGTGTCAGATAAGGCCATGTACAACTGATAAACCTGCAGGAATATCCTTGTTTAGTACTGCTTGTAGAGTAAATATGGAACATCAGAAATAGGGGGGAGTTGGGGTTAGCAGCCCTGGAGAGGAGATTAGTGTATTATCGTATATACTAGAGTATAAGTCGAGTTTTTCAGCACATTTTTTTGTGCTGAAAAAGCCCCACTTGACTTATACTCGAGTCAAGGTCTGTATTATGGCAACTTACATTGCCATAATACAGACCAGGATCACCAGGCTCATTACAAGCCTGGCGGTCCTGCTCGGGGCTGTCCGCAAACTCTTACCTTTGTAGCAGCTCCCTTCACCTCCGTGCAGCTCCTAGTGTAAGTATCGCGAGACCCGCGGCCATCAGAGTAAACCCCCTCCCTGACCAGTTAACAAGCAGGGAGGGGGGACTAAATAAAATAAAAATGCCCTCCCCCCCACCCAGTTCACACACACACAAACTCTGCATTCACACAAACACACACTCTGCATTATATACACAGTGTGTTTGTGTGTATATAAAGCAGAGTGTGTGTGTTGTATATAAAGCAGAGTGTGTTTTAAATTATAAAAATCACAGAATTTCATACCCCCAATTTTTACCATCGACTTATTTCACAATTGTTGGTCTCAAAACTGCACTCGACTTATACACTAGTATATATGGTAATATCGAACAGCCAAAATCTATATACCAACAGCTAGACACGAGGGGAGAAGGCAAATGAGTTGGGCTGTATAGAGATGGGGGTGCCGTCTATTTCAGACAAAAAAAGGGAGTAATCCCAATGGGCAAAACCGGTAAGAACAAAAGGAGGAAAATATTGTGCCCTGTCAATAGATGGAAAAATGGTGAGGGTGTGGGAATAGACTAGCGTGAACATATACCCTTTATAACACTCGTACATTGTGTGAACACACACATTAAACCTGCTTCTGTAGGCCGAGCTAAAATAAACTTTAAAACAAGTAGGTGAATAATCTAAATGCTATGTAGCTCACACCTATCGTTGAAAAAGTGATAAATTCCATGGACTGAAGAGATACAAGATGATCGGTTATATAGATCTGGCCATTACAGCTCATAGGGACAAAAATGACAGATGGTCTGCTTGCAATGATAAATCCTCAACTACCTAGTACAGTTAATTAATCTTAACGGCTTGATGAACAAAAACAGGCCGGTCCTTAAGGGGTTAAAATTAACAATAGTTCAAAGGGTTGCTTTAGGCGTCATAAGTCAGCGAGTGCTGTCCCCATTTCAGTCTGAGCAGTTTACCAGACCACTGTCTAGGTCCCCTGTAATGGAAGGGAGTTTCATACTAAACCATACCAGTGATGGGCAGTGACAGGCTGAGAGCGCTCGGCTGCCGTGTTTGTCATTTGGGCGTTTTCAAGCTTCCTGAATGCTGTGCTCAAGGTACTTCTCCAAGTCCATCACACACAAGTGATTTATTTTATCGCAATAAGAATATACATTCTCAGCATGTACATAGCTTCCATCTAATGTGGGCAATGTAATTAAAATATTTTTTCCTATTACTTTGTGGCTTGTTTTCCTTTTGTTGGAATATGATGGGTTAGTTGTTTTGTTTTAGAGGACACTGTGTTTTATTCACACAATGCAACTTGTCAGACAACGCACAAGCTTTGTAACAAATATTTCTTAAGTGTGTCCTACACCAGTTTCATTTCATCACCTGTGTTTGTCCTTATACATTAGCCTCTTGTTTTGTTTCTCACTAAAGTAACAAACACACACGCTTTATTGGAAAAACACAACAGTGGTTGTAAATGGGGAAAAAAGACTTTACGCTTTATATATTTGTAGAATAACAAGAGATATTAACTGATTGTATATTATTAACTGAAGGGTTAATTCAAAGTGAAAGAAATGTAAAGGAGCACTATAGTCACCAGAACAGCTATAGCTATAGTGTCAATAGTATGTTTTTGTTTTTTGTTGTTGTTGTAAACACTGCCTTTTCCCTTAGCGGTCTGAGGGGGTACACTGTTAGCTTTACGCCTGGGTTTCCAAATTGTGTTGGTACAGTTTTTAAACTATTGCATTGGTTATATGGTTTTTAGGAGCAGGGGAGATCACTGAAAGGTGCCATATGGTTAACCTTTGGGTAAGTTTAGGTGATTGCTACTTAAATTTGGAAACTGGCTCATCGGGCTGTGGGTAGTAAGGGCTGGTCAAGTGTCGTGTTGGGTCTTTGTTTATGGGGCCCGAGTCCATACCAGAGCTGCCCTTGGAAGGTGCGGACTAGCCTGTCTCTATAAGTTGGTACTATATTGTAAGGTGTTAGGAGGGCCGTGCCCTTTCCACCCTGCCCCAAGGAAGCGTGCGACAGTCGGGCAATCTGACAAAAGGCATGCATTGGTTACATATATACAAAAAAAATGTATCCTGCAAGTGTCCAACAACAAATAGAGTGTGGTGTACGGTTTTAGAAATGGAAACCTCTATTGAGGGGGTTCTGGCGGTGATGGCATAGCATATAGCCCAGGTAAGCGTGATATATAAACTAACCTACAGTATATGATACAGATATAGAGTATGGAAGCTGGGCATACCGTCCGACCTGTCAGATTGTGTGTATTTCTAGTTGTGTGCGTTGGGCATATGTTGGGTGTTGCAATGGCAACTGTCCAGGTTAGTGTGGTTGTTTAGGGAGTTTTGTGTAGCCTGTCAGTATAGGGAGGTGGGAAAAAGGCAGTACTGTGTGCCATGCTCCATGTGTGTTGTGATGACCTTAGATACTTTGGAGAGAGTTCGTAGAAGGGGTATTAAACTGGTTCATGGATTGCGGGATAAAACTTACCAGGAAAGGTTAAAGGATCTTAACATGTATAGCTTGGAGGAGAGACGAGACTGGGGGGATATGATAGAAACATTTAAATATATAAAGGGAATCAACACAGTAAAGGAGGAGACCATATTTAAAAGAAGAAAAACTACCACAACAATAGGACATAGTCTTAAATTATAGGGGCAAAGGCTTAAAAATTAATATCTGGAAGTATTACTTTACTGAGAGGGTAGTGGATGCATGGAGTAGCCTTCCAGCTAAAGTGGAAGAGGTTAACAGTAAAGGAGTTTAAGCATGCGTGTGACAGGCATAAGGCTATCCTAGCTATAAGATAAGGCCAGGGACTAATGAAAGTATTTAGAAAATTGGGCAGACTAGATGGGCTAAATGGTTCTTATGTGCCGTCACATTCTATGTTTCTATAATCTATTGACGGGTAAACATGCGGTGTTGAACAGTAAGGTGATGAGTGGGGAAGTCACATAGTTAAGCTTCAGAGAAAGACACTATTGTTCGCGGGATGGTGTGTGTGGGTAGTCTGCTCAGACTGTAATATGCTAGTGGTCAGTGTCCATGGGTATTGAATAAGTTTGGGCTACTGTCTCATATCTATAGCCGTCAGTAAGGTCCTTGTGGGCTCATAGGACCCAATGCTCTATGGGAGGTGAATTGAGAAATTGCAGGACAGGCCAGAGCCTATCTTACCTTGTCCATGCTAGGTTAAGCCAGGTGATCAATTAGTATAGGTGGAGCAGTTATCTTGAATCGTTCTGCATGGTCCGCTATGGAAAGGTAGTGTTTGTGATTAACCATCCTTGGAGGTAGAGGACGTCTCAGAGCTTCTATACGCCATATGGGTCGATTTGCTGTGTCGTGTGTCAGAGGGACAAGAGATGTCTGTCGTTTAGGCTGTGCGGGAAACGTAATCAGGACAGTGCTAGATAATCCAAGAGAGCCAGCACTTGGTGATCTGTGAGATGGTGTGGAATTTGTTATCCTTGCGGATCATGATATTGAAGGGTTGTAAGCCATGTTATGTGAGCAATTGGGTCAGCTGGTGTATCTTCCTGTCGCCGCAGCATGCATGGCGAAGGTCTTGATAAAACTGGACAGGTGCTCCTTCCACCGTAACTGGGGAGTCCTCTGGCAGCTTTATATGGAAGATGTGCATTTGCACGATGACGTTGAGCGGTGAGGTCGGGTTGGTTCTGGGAGCTCTTAAGGCCTAGTGGGCTCTGCCCATCAAAATATCTGGTGCTGGTGTCGGCTAAGAGGCCTTGGAATACTTCTGTAAGTGTTTTCACTGAGAGCGATTCTGGTAGGCCATAATCCGGATATTGTTCTAGCGGGTTCTGTTACTTAGATCTTCGCTGACCCCTTCAGGATGTGGAGCTGCCCTTGGACATCAGTATAGTTCATTTTCTCCTTGACCACGTATGTCCATGCCACGCAGACTTCAATGCTGTCTTTGATGAGCCAGAAGCGCTCGTACAGTTCATCTGCTGTGTATTCTTTGAAATGAGTAAGCAACCTCTTCGTGTCTCGTCTGGTTAGTGGGGTATAAGAGCATGTGGCTAGGAAAGGTAATTCAGGTACTAGTGCACTTGATGGCTATGGATTGGGTAGATGCAGAGCGATGAAATTATGCTGCCATCTACATGCTCGGTCAGGCTCCGCTCCTCAAGCAGATACTAGGCCTAAAATTTGAAATTTTACTTGACCGGAGGTATGTATTTTGCATAATCTCTCTTTACTAGCTCCACACCGCATCAAAGAAACGCATAGAAAAAAAGAACCAATCACAATAGAGTAGGATGTACATAAGGCATAGTGACCTCATCACTTCCTCTTTCTTTGCTGCTCCATCAAGCACACAGAGAGTATTACTCTCCTCCATTACTTTGTATTTATATTGCTGTTTTGGGATTGTTTTTAATACGTTTTGCTGTGCTTCTATGCTGTGGGCATCTGGGCGTCTTTCTTTATTATTAGTTTACTTTGACCTTTTTCTGGGTGCTTGGCCCTCTCCCCCCCTTATTTCTCTACTCTAATGGTCTCAAGGAGCTTTCGGGCCTCGCTGTGGCTTAATCCCTACCCTCCCACTGTTTCCCCAGTATATCCCGGCATGACTTCGGCCTTTTTCCCACGGCTGCACCCTCCAGTTTGGCAGCGGCTGGACTCAAAGACCCTCGCGAACAAGACGTGGCGACCATCTTTAGTCTCGTGAGATTGCGGGCAGCCATTTTGGTTCACCCGCAAGCCGTGGCGGCCATCTTTAATCTCACAAGATTGAATTCAGCCATCTTGCTACACCCGCGCACCGCGATTTTGGCGCTCGGGAGAAGCTTATGCTTGTTCTGCCATCTTAGCCTTAGCTGCTCTCACAGCTCAGGCGGCTCTGACACAGGCATTGGGTCCCAGGTTTGGATCTAGGTACAGGTAAGTATTCTAATCTGTTATATCATTACATGTTAATGTTGTACTACTTCAGCTGTATTTCAGGTTTGAAGGGATATCAACCTTAACCTCAGATTACTGTTAGGGCATGGTTCAGGGCTCTATAGGACTGTGCTGTATGCCTACACATTATGTGGAATAACTTAAGTTATGGGATGTTTAAAGGGATACCTCCTATTAACCTCAGATTACTGTTAGAATTAGTGCTCTCTATCAGGATGGTGACATATCCTGTACTGCTGTACACCTGGGGTTAACACCTGGCTAGATTGTTGGAAATCTGATGTGCTCTATCAGGGCCGTGTATGGGTTCATACACTATACTGCTGAGGAAAGACATACTGAAACAGCCTCTGTAAAATAGGATTTTCAACTCTTCCTGCTTGACCGAATATCTCCTTCGACAGTGAGCCATTGTGGAGAACTGGTTTAGGTTCTACAGGTGATACTCAAAAAATTAGAATACCGTGCAAAAGTTTATTTCAGTAATGCAGCGTAAAAGGGGAAACTATTATATGAGATAGACACATTACATGCAAAGCAAGATAGTTCAAGCCGTGATTTGTCTTAAGTGCAATGATTATTGCTTACAGCTCATGAAAACCCTGTAACGGACCGTTTCAGCACACAAGGGGTTAAAACCGTTTAGGCGATCGTCCCCCCTTCCAGAGATGCAGGCACAGCTACTGCAGAACACCAAACTCCCGAACAGGATACCAAGTAGCACTCCAAATTCCAGAACTGGAACCTCACGAATAGCTGCTAGCAGCTGAACAGGAAAAGCATCCAAGCGGTTTATACTCCTGGCAATGTCTCTAACAGCATACAGTAAATCCCCCCAAGAACGAGACAAAGCTCCGTGTTGAGGGTCAAGCAGTGAACAGGCAGAGCTGTGGGTTTATTGTTCTTATGTACACCTTCTTACACATTAGTACCACCCACAGGGTTTTGGAACACAACCAATAAACACATACAATACATCAGACACTCCCACACAAAATCCTCCCCTCTGCCTGTGATACAGTTAACTTACACAATGGATAATTTAATTAGCACAAGCAGAGAAATAAAATTTTTCCACATTATTCATAACTTGAAAAGTATGCATCACATTCACATAATGTGACACATAAATTCACATACTTACATTTTCAGAATCAGCATACTCCAAATACAAACATACGTCAAAATCATACAAATTGGTCCAGTGGTTCAAAAGATAGATCGTAGTCCTTTGTGACCAAAGGAAGCATTCAGTATCTCCTCCCTCTGCATGCAGACACTGAACTTTCCTCATTATTGATTCAATTCATCTCTATGAGGAGATGCTGATTGGCCAGGGCTGTGTTTGAATTGTGCTGGCTCTGCCCCTGATCTACCTCTTTGTCAGTCTCAGCCAATCCTAAGGGGAAGTATTGTGATTGGATCAGGCTACCACTTCTGATGATTTCAGCAGATTGCTTGATTTTCTGAGTCAAGCAGCATTCAGAGTTACAGCTTCCAAGGGGGCTAGATGGTGGCTTTAACATTATAGGGTCAGGAATACATGTTTGTGTTCCTGACCGTATAGTGATCCTTGAAGCTTATGCTATCTTTAGTGTACTTATAATCTTAATTTTACTAATGACAGGAGGCAAGTATTTTCCCTTCCGACCCTTTCTGTTCGTTTTCTTTGAATGTATCACAGGTCTAAGGTTAGGTTTGGCTTTCATGTTTTGTGTTTACATTGATCTGGAATTGCCATTGGAGTTTTACATTTTAGTTATTCAGTTATCAGATTGTAATTTACAATTTACTGCTATGGGATGATGTATACGGTACGTGGATTTCCGTGTTCATGACTATGTGTCTAAACCTGTCGCACATTCTCTTTTCAGTATGATTCGTCACTGAAGACATTTGGTTGTTCGTGTGAAATTCTCTGTAAGTTTACTCCTTCAGATTTTGATTCGTCCCTGAAAACATTTTGGCTGTTTGTGTGGACTTCACGAGAAGTTTGCTCCGTCGGATGTTGGATTTAGGAGTTATTATTGTTATTAATTGGTATATGTTTACTTCCGTTTGATGTCGCTTTCTGAAAGAGGAAGTGATGAGGTCACTATGCTTTATGTACATCCTATTCTCTTGTGATTGGTTCTTTTTTTCTATATGTTTCTGTGCTGCTGTTTGGAGCTAGTAAAGAGAGATTATGCAAAATACTCGCCTCCTGTCATTACTAAAATTAAGATTATTAGTACACGGAAGCTAGCATAATCTTCAATTCACTTTTAAATCTTGCTTTTATGTATCATGGTTATATTCACTTCAGCGTTGTTTAAAAACCTCTCCAACTGCTACAGCACATAGTTGTGGTTATGGTTTCAGGAGAGCACTGGTGCCCCCACCTTCTTCTCCTCTGTTACTAGTCAGACATTTTAAAATGACTTCTTACCTGAGGGCTGCCTGGCACCACTCGCTGCCTATTCTACATCCACCAGAGCCGGAACCTCTCTGATGTAAGCCTGACAGAGCAGAACTTCGAGCCAATGAGCTGACCGTACAAGGTTTACCACTTTAGCTTTAGTAAATTCTGAGGAAAAAAAAGAATTAACTGGCAAGCTCTACTAGACAAAAAAGCCTGGATGTCCATGGAAGACAACAGTGGTGGATGATCGTAGTCCAGCCAAGTGAAGAACACTCTCCCGGAGGTAGGCATATCATTATCCAAGTTTGCCATAAAGAGAAGAGACTTCACAAGAGCAAATACAGGGGGATCACCACACGGTGCAAACCATTCATAAGTCTCAAGAATAGAAAGGCCAGGGGCGGGGCCTGACTGCAGAGCCCAGCGGATGTGTCTCCTCGGGGCTCCCGCACCAAACGACCAAAAAAAGCTGTAAATCTACCTATTTAACGATAGAAGAGACAAACACTGCCCCTGATATGGCACTTAGAACCTGGACCTTCCTGGAGACACCACTCATGCATACCCGGACGGAATCTCCGTATCGGCCCCTCACGTGGCTGGCGTCGGGGAGGCGGCCGCTCCCCGGCGTCTGATAGCCGCAACACGACCAAGCATGCATTCCCGCCCCCCCCCATGGACCGGTGGGGGTCATCCCGGTGTCCACCGACCCGCGGCATGAAGCAAAGTCACTCCTGGCGGCTCCAACTCGACCAAGCATCACGGGCGGCAGCAGAAGCAAGATGGCGGACGAGCCCATGCAACCTGAACCCACATTGCCACAAGCTACTGGTGTGCAGCTCACCCCAATGGAGCACTATACTGTGTGCCTAGACAAAATCTTCCAGCGCTGGTGGGACAGCCTGGAGCGACGCTGTAAAATTAAACACCCTACCTCTGAGGAACAGGCGGATAGGCGGGAGGTGACGGGAGAGGGGGGGCCGTGCACAGGTACACCACATGGAACCGCAACCAACTCTCATACCGGCAGCCATCCTAGGCCGAAGGCCATGTGGAGACTCACTCCAAGGCACCGACCACAACGCCGGAAGCCCGATCGCTGCCGGCGGTGGCAGAACACCCGGGTTTTCCAGGACGCCCACAATGGGGTAGACCCGGCCTCAAAGAGTCACCGAGTCTGTGGCATACAGGTGCTGGCCTTTACAATGACCTGGGGCTGGAGAGCGGCCTCCCAAAACACGCTCCTCGCACTACACCTGGGGACACTGCAAACACAAGCTACCATACCACCCCGCAGAGGTATCGGATGAAAATGGATGGACTGACCTGCGAGACCAGCTCGCAGACACCCCCGGATGTGAGCTGCACCCAGCAGGGAACACCATTGAGACTGCCTGTGCTGTACTCCACATACCCGAATGCATCCTAAACTGGTTGCCGCCTGACAGTGACATGATGAACTGGCGTTCTTTAAAGCATGTTCCGTAAGCCACTGTTGCCTGGCCTGTTATAATATGTTTATAATGTATTGACCTAGTATGTTTCACCCAATTTAGCACAGAGAAGGGAGACTTTCTTGTTTATGTGAGCCACAGATGCATGTTATCAGAGAAATCAGGTGACACAGTTCCCTATGATGGCTTTCTGTACCTGTCATTAATTGCTTAAGCTACACATAGAGTGAGGCCTGGCCGCAGACTAGGACAAGCTAGACCATTAGCCAGCCACGTCTCTTGAGACTCCTGTAACGCACACGCAGACCTCGAGGCAGCAACATAACTGTTCACTAAATACTAGTTAACCTTGCTCTAACACACTCATGAAAGGAAACCTGGTGTCTCATCTCTAAATGCTTAGTCTCCATGCCAGGCTACAGATATAACCACGTTTTGTTTCATGTTATTACTATGCAGTTACGTATTCGCGATTAACCTATCTACTAAATATATAAAATGAGGCAGATGATTATCTGAGGTGATATATGCTGCGTTGTAACGATCCCTACATGTATGTATTTTTATCATCTCCCTCTCTACATTCTGTACCCTTGCAATTTTAAGCCTCAATAAAAGAAAGATTGACAAAAAAAAAAAAAGAATAGAAAGGCCATGTAAAAAAGCCAAGTTCTGGAACAGAGTTCTTTGGACAAATGAAACTAAGAACAACCTGTAGCCGAATTATGGGAAGAAAAAGGTATGGAGAAGGCTTGGAACAGCTCGTGATAAGAAACATACCACATCTTCTGTAAAACACGGTGGAGGCAGTGTGATGGCATGGGCATCCATGGCTTCTAATGGCACTGGGTCACTAGGGTTTATGGATGATGTGACAGAAGCAGCCGGATGGATTCTGACGTGTATCGGGATATATTGTCTGCTCAGATCCAGTCAAATTCAGCAAAGTTGATTGGACGGTTCTTCACTTTACAGATGACCAATGACCCATAACATACTGTGAAAGCAACACAGGAGTTTAAGGCAAAGAAGTGGAATGTTCTGCCATGGCCAAATCAATCACCGGACAAAACTTAAAGGACCACTATAGTGCCAGGAAAACATACTTGTTTTCCTGGCACTATAGTGCCCTGAGGGTGCCCCCACCCTCAGTGTCCCCCTCCCGTCGGGCTCTGGGGAGAGGAAAGGGGTTAAAACTTACCTTTCTCCAGCGCCGGGCGGGGAGCTCTCCGCCTCCGATCCTCCCTTTCGGCTGAATGCGCACGCGCAGCAAGAGCTGCGCGCGCATTCAGCCGGTCTCATAGGAAAGCATTTAGAATGCTTTCCTATGGACGCTTGCGTGTTCTTACTGTGATTTTCACAGTGAGAAGCACGCAAACGCCTCTAGCGGCTGTCAATGAGACAGCCACTAGAGGCTTTGAGGGCTGGATTAACCCTATTATAAACATAGCATTTTCTCTGAAACTGCTATGTTTATAAAAAAATGGGTTAACCCTAGCTGGACCTGGCACCCAGACCACTTCATTAAGCTGAAGTGGTCTGGGTGCCTAGAGTGGTCCTTTAAGGCAGAAAGCCGCACAAACAAACAGCACCTGAAGACAGTTACAGTAAAGGCCTGGCAAAGCTTCACAGAGGAAGAAACCAGTGTTTGGTGATGTCCCTGCGTTCCAGACTTCAAGCAATCATTGCCTGAAAAGGATTCTCCACAAAGTAATAAATATCAACATTTCATTTACAATTGTGTTAATTTGTCTATCCTAGAATATCTGTCTGTCTCTCTCTCTCTCTATCTATCCTAGTATATCTGTGTGTGTGTGTGTGTCTGTCTGTCTGTCTATCTCTCTGTCTGTCTATCTAGCCTAGTATATCTGTCTGTGTGTCTATCTATCCTAGTATATCTGTCTGTGTGTGTGTGTGTGTGTGTGTCTCTGTCTATCTCTCTGTCTGTCTATCCTAGTATATCTGTCTGTGTGTGTGTCTGTCTATCTCTCTGTCTGTCTATCCTAGTATATCTGTCTATCTCTCTGTCTGTCTATCTATCCTAGTATATCTGTCTGTGTGTGTGTGTGTGTCTCTCTGTCTATCTCTCTGTCTGTCTATCCTAGTATATCTGTCTGTGTGTGTGTGTGTGTCTCTGTCTATCTCTCTGTCTGTCTATCCTAGTATATCTGTCTGTGTGTGTGTCTGTCTATCTCTCTGTCTGTCTATCTATCCTAGTATATCTGTCTGTCTATCTATCCTAGTATATCTGTCTATCTCTCTGTCTGTCTATCTATCCTAGTATATCTGTCTGTGTGTGTGTGTCTGTCTATCTCTCTGTCTATCTATCCTAGTATGTCTGTCTGTGTGTGTGTGTGTCTGTCTATCCTAGTATATCTGTCTGTCTGTGTGTGTGTGTGTCTGTCTATCCTAGTATATCTGTCTGTGTGTGTGTGTCTGTCTATCTCTCTGTCTATCTATCCTAGTATATCTGTCTGTCTGTCTGCCTGCCTGTGTGTGTGTGTCTGTCTATCCTAGTATATCTGTCTGTCTGTCTGTCTGCCTGTGTGTGTGTGTCTGTCTATCCTAGTATATCTGTCTGTGTGTGTGTCTGTCTATCTCTCTGTCTGTGTGTGTGTCTGTCTCTCTCTCTCTCTCTCTGTATCTCTGTATCCTTCATAAAACTGATACTTGGTATTGGTTGAATGAATTCCATTTCTGTCAATGCATTATATCAGTGCAGCTCAGAGCTGCCCCCTGCTGGTCAATTAGTGCGATAGGTTTCGTTTCCTGATGAATGGAAAGTAAAATACTCCCAGTAAATCCAAGCTGTAATATCTCTCCTCCCCAGCCCAGTATTTACCGTATTGCTCTGTATAGAGAGTCAGCACCCAATAAAGGGATAGCCTGTACATTGTCTGGGTGATTTACTCCAAGCCAAATCAGGCGAAGTGGATAAATCTCTCTGAATTCTCACTTTAGTGATTAACCCTCTTACTGTCCCAAAAAACAAAAGTTCAATTCCGAAAGGTATATTGATCGACTCGTGGACCGTGGTGCGGATTGCGTTTATTTTCTCTATTAATAAAAGATAATTCTGGGGGAAAGTTCTAGAACTCGGACCATCAGATCTGTGCTGGTTTCCATGGCGATATCTCCATATTTCTGTACACATTCTGCACTATAACCACTTCATTGACATCAAATGGTTTTGGAGCCAGAATGGTCCCTTTAAGAGGCTTTATTTTATTTAAGATTTTTGGATATTTGTTTAATGCATTATTTGCATATTACAAGCGAAGTTTACCATTTAAAGGGTTAAAACATGATTATTTACAGAACTCCTACAAATCCCAGGGGGTCGGCTCACTAAACAGTGAGATGTGCTGAACTGACTGCAAAACACAGACAAAAATAACTGAACTGGGACAAAAACATCCAACCTGGCTGATAATAAACACTTTCAATTTCAATAAAAACAGCCAACACATCGCTCAGTGCCAGGCTGGGAGTGATGGGAGTGATGGGTGGGAGGAAAGCCTGCAATATACCGGTAAAGTAATGGGGAGAGTACAGTACTGAGTACACTGGCTATCTGAACAGAATGGGAATTCCCCAAGTAGAAGCTGCGCAGCTATTCACATCATTAAGGCAGTTTCACTTTTCTTTATCCATTTAGTCCTTTATATTCCAGACAGCTCTGCCTGAACTGACACTTTGTATCTCTCTGAAAAGGGGACAACACAGCCTCACCTGCAGCCACCTGGACAGGTAACAAAGTAACACTTACTGTATGGCAGGAGCTTGTCTGACTTAGGCAGGAAGTAGAAATGTATTATTATTATTTATTATTATTATTAATCTGTTATATCTCAGGAAGTAGAAACGTTATTATTATTATTTATTATTATTATTAATCTGTTATATCTCAGGAAGTAGAAACTTATTATTATTATTTATTATTATTATTAATCTGTTATATCTCAGGAAGTAGAAACTTGTTTATTATTATTATTATTTATTATTATTAATCTGTTATATCTCAGGAAGTAGAAACGTGTTTATTATTATTAGTATGTATAAGGTTGCATGTGAAGTGTAGGTTCAGCTAGGCTTCTGTACTCAATATGCTGTGTGCAAACCCCATTAATTCTCATTCAGGTAAGAGTGATGGCAGTTGCAGTCCATCCTCCCAGTCCTGCCTGCACACAGCTCAGTGGTTGTGGTTACAGTGTGCAGTATTTTGCTATAATTTGGTTACAATGGAATGATATATATAGTGAAGGTACGTCTCCTTCACCCCCCACAATATAAACATGCCATTGCCAAACTAATGAAAGAAACTATAGAGATATTAAGTAAAATGGAATAAATGGCCGCTTGCAATCCAGCTCCCTGTAGGTACCTGCTTACTGACTGATCCAGCCAAACTATAACTACAGGAACTACACAAAACAAAACACACATCTTGTGTCTCATTATATTATCTGCAGTTTCCTTCCCCCTATATTAATGGCTGGAGTCGCTGCTGAGAGGCCAAGAAACTAATCATGTTAAGGTATTGGGGGCTTTTTTTAAAAATGCCCCATTTCTAGACCCCTCACACAGGCTTTGTATAGGGTCATCAAGTAAATCAAATTGCAGAGACAAACCACCCAGGTGTCCCTATTAAGGAGGCACAGTCCTTATTTTTGGACCAGACCCCTCTGTCTGTCTTTTCTAGGAGCTCCATATTGTTGGTGTGTCTGAGTGTATAACAGAGCCCCACAGTAATAATACTCCCAGTAATGTGTCTGAGTGTATAACAGAGCCCCACAGCAATAATACTCCCAGTAATGTGTCTGAGTGTATAACAGAGCCCACAGCGATAATACTCCCAGTAATGTGTCTGAGTGTATAACAGAGCTCCACAGGAATAATACTCCCAGTAATGTGTCTGAGTGTATAACAGAGCTCCACAGCAATAATACTCCCAGTAATGTGTCTGAGTGTATAACAGAGCTCCACAGCAATAATACTCCCAGTAATGTGTCTGAGTGTATAACAGAGCTCCACAGCAATAATACTCCCAGTAATGTGTCTGAGTGTATAACAGAGCTCCACAGCAATAATACTCCCAGTAATGTGTCTGAGTGTATAACAGAGCTCCACAGCAATAATACTCCCAGTAATGTGTCTGAGTGTATAACAGAGCTCCACAGCAATAATACTCCCAGTAATGTGTCTGAGTGTATAACAGAGCTCCACAGCAATAATACTCCCAGTAATGTGTCTGAGTGTATAACAGAGCTCCACAGCAATAATACTCCCAGTAATGTGTCTGAGTGTATAACAGAGCTCCACAGCAATAATACTCCCAGTAATGTGTCTGAGTGTATAACAGAGCCCACAGCAATAATACTCCCAGTAATGTGTCTGAGTGTATAACAGAGCTCCACAGCAATAATACTCCCAGTAATGTGTCTGAGTGTATAACAGAGCTCCACAGCAATAATACTCCCAGTAATGTGTCTGAGTGTATAACAGAGCTCCACAGCAATAATACTCCCAGTAATGTGTCTGAGTGTATAACAGAGCTCCACAGCAATAATACTCCCAGTAATGTGTCTGAGTGTATAACAGAGCTCCACAGCAATAATACTCCCAGTAATGTGTCTGAGTGTATAACAGAGCTCCACAGCAATAATACTCCCAGTAATGTGTCTGAGTGTATAACAGAGCTCCACAGCAATAATACTCCCAGTAATGTGTCTGAGTGTATAACAGAGCTCCACAGCAATAATACTCCCAGTAATGTGACTGAGTGTATAACAGAACTCCACAGTAATAATACTCCCAGTAATGTGACTGAGTGTATAACAGAACTCCACAGCAATAATACTCCCAGTAATGTGTATTTAAAGTGGCTCTGTTGCTTCTCCCTTCTCCACCCTCCACCTGCCCTCCGCCTCCTCTCCTCTCCGCCCCCCAAGCCCCCAATCTTTATAACATGCATCATTCACATATCTTCTTGCAAATGGCCGGATAGACATATTTTCTATCAGTTAAGTGACAGCAAGTTAGCTAAAAATAAGTAAATATTCTAGTTTTGCCATTTCCCGCCATACATGAGATAAATAATCTACTTTGATTTATGTGTATCTTTCAATGTGCGCCATATTAGGATTAATGGCACCTTGTAAAACGTGGGCTAGAGGACCCCTGTGCTTTCACCAATAACCGTGACTTTCTGATTCAGGGCATCTTGTGTCTCCTGGGAGCCATTTTAAATACGTCAACAATTACCAGATTAACGTGGAAATGGAGGCTGTTGGAAGGGAACCATTGGGCCCTGTGCTGCTATGCCGAAATGAAGACAACAACGGAGTGAGTAGCGTCCATTGCTGGACGTAGAAATTAAATTACTGTGATGGTGATGGATTGTATTGTGTTTTTACAATCTTTATTTGGTTTTATTTGAGTTCAATCACATGTGAAAGGGTTACATAAAGGAAATAAACTTTCTGCGCATGAACAGCCAGCGTTTCTTTCTGGTTTTTGTTTCCTCTTTTTTCCCCCTTTCTTTATGGATTCAGTCTGATAAATTCCCGCTTTTCTATTTCTACACAGAATAATGTTACCGCGGAGGAGAACAAAAAGGAGCAAAGGTAAATTACCTGTCATTGTCTGTCATCTGTGGATTTGTCTGTCATCGTCTGTCTTGTCTCCCATCACTTTCAGCTGCTGGTCAGCGCTAAATAATCAACCCCCCACCGCTTACTGCATTAGAACGTGCTTCACATTTCTCAAATCCTGAATATCTGAGCATCGTTCTTTGCCAAGGGTCCACCTCTGCATCATATCTCCCCACCGAAACACTGTGTCTGATCTCCCCACCCTATCACGTTCTACCAACACTACCCCACAAAGCCCACCCTAACTCCACTCCTCACTATATTTCCATTCACTACAAAGCCCACCCTAACTCCACTTCTCACTATATTTCCATTCACTACAAAGCCCACCCTAACTCCACTTCTCACCATATTTCCATTCACTACAAAGCCCTCCCTAACTCCCCTCCTCACTACATTTACTCTTTAACAAATTCTCATTCCCTTCACTCTGTGAGCGATCTTCTCCTGACACCTGTTCGTTCACGCTCTGTTAGCTCCCATCTACAAGATTTCTCTGCCCCATTCCTTTCGCTCTCCTGTCCCGTCAGACTCTCCCCTAGGCTCCAGGCCTGAAGTCCTGAAAGCTCACCTATTTAGTAAAGCTGACGTTTCTCTTTTTTCACTGCTCCATCACTTCCCTCGCCTCCATAGCCCAGCCCCCTCTCTCTCCAGTCGCTGGTCGGTTCTTCCACACACCAAGTTTATCAACGCGGGCATCTTATCCATCAATCCCTGCTCCCTCTGACGCGTTGTGATATCCATTTTGTGTCTCTACCCCTTCCTCGTAGATTGCAAGCTCCAGGGCCTTCTTCACCTCTTCTCTCTGTTATATCCTGTACGCTGATTACCTGTTGTCAGATATCCCTATACTATAATTGGGAAGCACTGCTGTATATGTTGACGCTATAATAATAATCTCTCTGAGCTGGAGTATACGTGTCTATAGCTGGATAATAATACATTTAGCAAGTTATTGTCTTTTTTCCCTTCAGATTAGAAGCAGTGCTTTACAACTGGGATTTTATCACCTGGAGGGAAAAAACAGGCAGGCAGTCTCCTGTCAGAGTATTTATATCGGCAGACATTTTGTGCTATGATAGAAACTAAAAGTGTATATTCTGAGTCACTCTGAACAGACCAGACTCCATTTTGTTATTTCAAGTTAACAAAGAAGACACTAGATTTCTTTCTGTAAGACTGGCCTCTTTGCCAGAGCTAAGGAATGCATAGTATATACAAACCAAGTGATAAGGAAGGGGGTTGGACAGACTGTCTAATGCTAATGGAATATAATCAAATCTAAACCCAGACAATTGTGACAGAGAAGATTAAATTTAATATTTAACTGTCTATATATATAAGGTACCATTGTATGGAAAAGGGTAAACTTAGTTCATGATCTGCCATATCAGAAATTATAGCAGATTTACCAGACACATAGTCTGGACAAAATTTAAGAAACCCTTTGATCTTTGAAGGATACGTAAGTTATAGTGGTCATTTGAGATAAGCAAAATGACGTCAAAATAGCCACCAGGAAAAGTTAACTCTTTCCTGGTTAGGTATGTTTAGTGGGACAAGACTGCCCTCTATAGACCAAATACCTAATTTGCGATCTGGAAGATAACCACACCTCTAGTGCTTCTATTGGGTTATCAACTGATGACGTACAGAGAGTCTGGCCCTTTAAAAGTTAAGACAAAGGGAAGATAGAGAGATACGAAAGAAGAAGGCAGATGCAAGATATGCAAAGGAGAGGAGAGAGGAATTGGAAGTTTGGGGACTCCAACTCGGACAACATCTGAGACTAACACTCTACTCCTAAAACTCTAACACTTAGAATTTACTGACTTTCTAACCAACACCTCCATGCAGAGAGACTACCAATCGGATGAAATATCTACTCAACTGGTAATTATACTGGTTTCATTTAATTAAATTAAATTAATTAAAATGTATTAATAGCATTATATATGACTGGATAAAGCACGGTCAGATTTCCATATTAAGAAATCTTAGTTAACTAAGAATATATAGTTATAAATATTCCATTCTGCAGGTGGAATTAAGAATAATTATATATTGATGTGATATTATCACGTGTTAGCATACCGCTGTTTTTATCCAGGTTTATTGATTTGCTCTAAATTAAGATAGATATCTTTTAGACAAATTAAAAATCTGCTTATATAATGTTAGATTCTCTTATTGGATGGTTTAAGAAAATGAATTTAAACTGGTTTAAATGTTATTTTATTTAAAAATTACATAAGAATAGATCTTAACTACCTAGGAGATCTAGCCAGCATTGAAAGGGTTATTCTAACTGTCTGCTAAACTTTACGACCTTACGCTGCACTCTGAGGAATTCTGTTCTCTGTGTGAAAAGTTTCACTTTCAATCTGTGTAAGGATACCTCATAAATCGTCAGAATTCTTGACAGAAAACGCTAGTTAGCCATTGAAACGTAATACCCATTCCTTTGTATTGCATACCATTTTATACTGAATATTCATTGATTATTGTCATGCATGTTACATAATATTATTTGTTAATTATTGGTTATCATAAATAAAATCTATTTTTATACATTGTGATTATTTATATGAAATACATTCCACTTAACACGATAAACGTTCTTTAGGATCTGAGAATTGAATTAGTGGGCAATTCTCACTGTTACTATTATTATCCCATAAATATCCCCACACTCCCAAACTTTTCAAGAACCTCCCCCCAATTAACCTTTGGCCTTATAAATTGCTTCCTACCCAAGACATCCCCAGTTCTTTGCCTGCCTCCGGCAGAGGAGGGTCTCAGGTTGTCTCCCTAGAAGTATGGTGAGAGGGCTGAGGCTCTACTTCTTTTAAATACATTTTTCAGAGATCGGCCAGGGATAACACACCAGACGGCTGTATCTCTCCGGGTTGTATTACTTCCGTCTATACCGAGCCAGGTGCTGGGCAGATGATGGAGCACATTTGGGCACTAGCTGGGAAGTCCTGGCGGTGGAACACTCGTACAGGTTACGTTTATTTCCACCATGGAATCGCGAAATGCAGGACATGCGGAATGCGATTTAAAATTCAGGCGCCAATATCTTTATTATTTTTTTGCTTCGGGGTCAAGATATTGGTTTCCAGGACTTAGAGAGGCTGTTTACCCAGCAGCAACTAACTGTTGCCAGGTGCACTCAGGATCTGTTGCAAGTGTGTTCTCACCAATAGTTAAGGATATTTAAGGTAACCCTTTTTGCTTTTATCTTAAATGACTCTAGCCTGAATAAGTTAATTATCTGGATAAGCTAAAAAAAGCAAATGTTTCTAAGTTGGAGAGTTAGCTTCTCATCACTTAAAGATTATTCCTAAAATCTTAACACAATTAGTGATTTGAAATTGTAAGCACTTAGTAGATCGGGCCCATAATAGATTATTCTTTGAGTAAAGCCTATAAAGGGTATTAGATAAGAATATACTTTTACATAATTCTGTTTGGTAAATTTAAGTTTAATTTCTGGCTCAAAATAGCTGCTACACAGTGATTAGTTAATATGGGTTTCAATATCACTAATTGCTGCAACAGAGTCAGTAATTAAGGTAAGTGTTCCGGTGGAATATATTCACAGGAGCAAGACCCGTATGACTATTGGAGGATTATCCTCTGTATGTTATCCTTAGGAGGCTGATATTAAATATCCGATTTGATTAAGTTAATATACTGTTGTAGCAGATGGATTCTTTAAATGCCAGGATCCTAGCCGCAGTGTTTATTTTAAAACATGCTGTAGGCTTTTACCAATTGCTGTAGACAAAACTCACCTGATATCAGTGTCTAAAAAGACAGTCTGTTTTTCAGCTGGGGCAAAACTTTTCCTGTGCTTCACTCCAGGGTTGCACATTTTATGTTTTGTCTTAAAGCGGCACTATCATGCCGAATCCTGTTTTTTTTTCTGTTTTTTTTTTAACCCCCTCCGGCCTCCACGGGAGAAAGAAACTGACGGGGAGAAAGAAACTGACGGGGAGCATTCCTTACACACACTCAAAGCACCCCTTACAGACTCACACACTTCATCCCTTACATCCCTTACACATACAAACACAGATTCACACAATGCATTCCTTACACACAAATCAGGACATCCCCTACACACTCTACCCCCTGTGAACAAACTCATTGGTGGAACATGAAGGTGGACCCTGGGACCCAGACCTTGAGCTATGTAAAGGGCCCCCAAAAAATGGAGCTGCTTCTCGTTCTCCCAGAACATTGATTTTTGTGACCACAGTTACAAACAGCCTCCAGAGATCCTGTTATACACCAGACCAGTGGAGCCAGACTGCAGCTAGAGCCCATCATCATCCTCATCTGCTTGTAAGTAGGTAATCTAGTATATTATTCATGGCACTAATCTCTAATTTACCTCACATTAAAGAAACACTATAGTCCCCAGAACCACAGCAGCTTAATGTAGTGGTCCTGGTGTCTATAGCCTGTCCCTGCAGGCCTTTTAATGTAAACACAAGGTCCGCGCTATGAGAGAGAAGGGGGGGGGAAAGCGTAATGCCTGGTGTGCGGCCACGGTTGTCGGAAAGCCTCTGTCGCCAGAGCCTCCGGATCTGGCCTCCAGCTGAAAAACTTCGGCAACTGCGTGTTCAGCCGTGACGCGAACAGGTCGATGTCCAGCGTCCCCCACAGTGAGTGTAAATGGCTGAAAATGGCCGGATTCAGCCGCCAATCGCTGGCATCCCGTAGATGTCTGGAGTTCCAATCCGCTACCACATTGCTCATCCCTGGGATGTGTTCCGCTTGCACTGATATATTACGGTCCAGGCAGAACTGCCAGAAGTCCTTCGCTAATTCCGCAAGTATTGCTGACCTCGTGCCCCCGAGGTGATTGATATATCGAACTGCGGACACATTGTCCATGCGTAACAGGATGGAACAGTTGGTCGACACGTTCAAGAGACTCCGTAAAGCAAACGAACCTGCCAGCAGTTCGAGGCAATTGATATGAAGTCCTTGTTCCTCCTTGGACCATCTTCCTCCGGTGGAGAAAGGTCCGCAGCGCGCACCCCAACCGAGCAAACTGGCATCGGATTCGATTACGAGGTCTGGCGCCGTTCCGAAGATCGCGCGGCCATTCCAGGCCTCCATGTGTTGTAGCCACCATTTGATTTCCTCTTTGGCGGCACAGTCGAGGGGAACAGAGTCGGAGTATGAGTGCCCCAAGCGAAGGTATTTTGCCTTCAACCGTTGAAGTGCTCTGTAGTGTAGGGGTCCGGGGAAAATGGCCTGAATTGACGCCGAGAGGAGGCCTACAATCCTGGCCAGCTGTATCAAAGTAAGGACCGGACGTGTGAGCGTCCTCCTGAGCTCCTTTTTGATGGCCTTGACCTTGGTCGCTGGGAGTAGGAGTGTTCCGGTCACCGCGTTTATGGTGAATCCCAGAAATTCTATATCCTGCGAGGGTTCGATGACCGACTTCTCCCAGTTGATCAGAAAACCCAGGTTTTCTAACAGATTCCGCGTCCAGGAGAAATGTTCTTGCAACAGAAGCGGGTCCTGGGCCATGATGAGGATATCGTCCAGGTATATTATGAGCCGTACGGCCCTGCTGTGTAGGAGGGCCACCACTGGTTTCATGAGCTTTGTGAAGCACCAGGGAGCTGATGAGAGGCCGAACGGTAGGCATTGGAAACGCCACACGTTCCTTTCCCAGCGGAATTGCAGGAAGTGGTTGCAGTCGTCGGCCATTGGGACCGTGAGGTATGCGTCCTTCAAATCGAGTTTGACCATCCAGTCCCCTGTGAGGAGGAGGTCCCGTAGGGAGTGTATACCTTCCATCTTGAAATGGTGGTATGTGACAAACATGTTTAAAGGTCTCAAGTTGATGACTGGGCGGACACCTCCGCCTTTTTTGGGTACCAAGAATAGGTTGCTTAGGAAGCCCGGTGTGGTAGAGGGAACCGAATAGATTGCCCCTTTTGAGGCTAAGGCCTGGACCTCTTGAGTTATCAACTCCCGGTCCCGTGTGGAGAACACCATTCGGCCGGGGGGTTCTAATTGGACTGGGTATTGAACGAAGTCTATAGAATAACCCCGGACCGTGTGGAGCACCCAGGCGTCTGCCGTGATCATGTGCCATGCTTTGACAAAAAAGGCTCAGTCTGCCCCCCACCATAGTTAACGCAGACAGATGAGGAGGTAGTGCACTTACCATAAGGCCGTCGGCCATATGAAGAGCCTCTGGGTCCTCGGGAGTGCCATGGTCTGCTTCGAACCGGGAAAAATGGTGAGGCTTGCTTGGGTTCCGGGGGTGTGACTCTAGGTTGTACGGAGCCACGGGAGCCCCGGTACGAGCGGCCGGGCAGACGGCCCCGATATATGCCAGCCCCGCCAAAAACCCTCTGGTGGAACACTCGTTTCATGCTGGCCTGAGCCTTATCAAGTGCCGTAAAGGTGCCCACATACGTGCCTAATTCCTTTACAAAGTTATCCCCGAATAAGAGGGCTTTGGCCTGGGGACCTGGTTCTGAGATTGACAGATTAACTAGTTTAGGCTCAATTTTTATTAAAATCCCCTTGCGCCTTTCTGTGGCCACTGCCGTATTCGCGTTGCCCAGGAGACACACGGCACGTTGGATCCAGCCCCGAAGGGCTTCTAGGTCCAGCGGTGTACCCCCTGCCAACGCGATTTCGACCATATCGAACATCCTCGCGTTCGGGCCAAGGATGTCCAATACCTTATCCTGGCAATTACGCCAGGCAAAATCCAGGCCCTTCTTGGCCTTCCAGCCAGATTTTCCCAGGAATTGGGCGATTTTTGGGTCCACTTCCGGGGTGGCGCATGCCATATGTGGGGCGGGGGCACTCTGCCCGCAGCTTGTTCCGCGCCACCTTATCCAGTGGCTTTCTGATGTGGGCAGCAATATATTTTGCTACGTGGTCCAGAGGGTACCACTCGGAGGACCTTGGATGCTGTAAGGTATCCGGGTCGAACAAAGGTTCGCCCTGCGGGTCAATCAAAGCTGAATCGTCAGCTCCGTCCTTACGGTCCATATCCATGCCCGTGGCGGAGCTATAGTCCCGCAAGTGAGTCTCAATAGAGTCCTCATTATAATCATCAGAGTCCTCCTCTTCGGACTCGCTCTGAGCCTCCTCTAGCTCCGAATCAGAGTCGGAGGATTCCAGTAGGGCCTTAGCCCTCTTCCATTTCCTCACCGATTTTGCCCGGTGGGGGGCTCTTAGTTGTGGTCCAACCACAGGTTCTGTGACAGGACGTGCCCTGTCCGTCTGTAGGGTTTTGGAGGCATAATCGTCTAAATGACGAGATTTTTTAGCGGCCTTACGCCCACTAGGGGCCACCAGCTTATTCTCTGGGGGGTTAGCCGTGGGGTTAGCAGGTAATTGCGTGGCTCTCATTGCCGTAGTTATGGAATGGGATAAATTCTCTGACATGGCACCCATGGCCGTAACTATGGCCTGCGTTACAGACTTCGCCATAGCCGCGTCCAAGAGGGAATGCAATTCCTCCGAGTCCATATGCTCTTGCGCTGAGTCCAACGCAGTGGGCATTTTGGGGCCCTGAAGGGGAGGGGTGGGCATGGTGGCCCTAGATGTAGTGGCACTATAGGC